ACATTTGGCCTCTCACCCTCAGTTTCCTCTCTGTCCTCTCTCAGCAGCTTGGGCAGACCTTGGCTCTCAGCACTGGTGGTGGAGAACTCACCACAGCAGGTGCCTCCACTTCTGCAAGTGCTTTAGGTGTGAGCAATGCACAAATCCTCTCCTGGAGGTCTAATTTGCCTCCAAATCTCCTTTAGAACTCATTAAAACATTCGGTACAAGCAACAATTTCCTTCCTTCCTGCTCCCAAATCGAATGGAACAACCTGCTGGGAAACAAGAAACTGCAGGTGGGGGAAAAAATGGCATTCAGATAAGATTTTCCCTTCAAGTGTTTCTCTTCTGCAGTTTGATGATATTTAATCCTTCGTATGACCAGGGAAACTCACGTTTGGAGTCATCTCAGATGAGCAGGGAGCAGATATTTAATTTCCAGGTAGTGCTGGAGGAAGAGGAGGAGGCTAACACCTCCCTGAACACCTGCACATTTACACTGCACCTACAAAACTCTTAGAACAGGGAGAGAATTGCTGCTCAGCATAGGAAACTGCAGCAGACTCACAGATCTTGCTGTGCCAGGCAACCTGCTCTGAGCTCTAAAAGTGTCCCTCAGAGATCAAGCCACAGCTTTATCCAGTGAAGTAAAAAATCCTAAGGAAAAGCAGATTTCCTTCCTAAAATATATTGAGAAAATCAAAGCAAATATCTGCACGAGTTCAAAGGCAAAAGATCAACCAGATGAGGTGTTTGTTGTTTGTTTGTTTTTTCCCCTAACCACAGCCAGTTCCTCTTCTTCAGGTTTAATTATTCAGCTGCTCACTTGTCATTCCTCCAGGAGCATTCACCTTCCTGAGTAAACAGGAAAAGAGGTGGATAGTGCCGGATTTGGGTTCCTCTCGGCCCCAGAAGTGATGAGCTCACTCCTTGATCAAATACTCCCTCGGGCATGGACTAGACAAGCCACTTTTTTTCATGTGAGGCTAATTGCACTCCTCACTCAGCCTCGTGGCATCCCAGCTATGCCACGACTCCCGAGGCTGGAGGATGGAGCTGAAGAGCAGCCCCACCTGGGAGCTGCTGGCTCACACCCTCACACCCTCCCAGCTGCTTGTGGCAGGGAGTGATCAGAGGAGAAAGTTGGCTGTGATGAAGCCCCAGATTGTAAGGCTTCATTACAGCCAAATGCAGGAGTTTAGGGCTGGGAAGGCTTTGCCAGGCTGAGGAAAGGAGGAGAATCCCTGTTCTCCATGAAAACGCTTTGCTCAGCCAAAGGTGGGTCCTGTGCTACATCACACTTTGCACTGGGGAGTCACCTCCAGGGCTGTGCCCAGTTCTGGGCCCTCACTGGGAGAGACACTGAGGGTCTGGAGGTGTCCAGAGATGGAAGTGGAGCTGGGGAAGGAGCTGGAACATCCAAGTCACATGAGGAGAAGCTGAGGGACCTGTGAGAGCTCAGCCTGGAGAAAAGGAGGCTCAGGGAGACCTTCTGGGTCTCTCTAGCTCCTGCCAGGAGGAGCAGCCAGGTGGGTCAGGCTCTGCTCCCAGGTAAGAAGGGACAGGACAAATGTCCTCAGTGCTCTTGGGCAGCTCTTTGCAGCCCCAGCCCAACCTCTGGTGACGAAGCAGTGGCCACCAAAGGATGTTGCTGTGTGGTCCTGAGTCACTGACGTTAACGTGAGGAGTCAAATGACCAAATTGCTCATAAATGTAATAGAGATCCACAAATAAGTGTCAATTAAGGCTAATAATGCAGCCCTCTGATGCCCCCATGTATTACCAGAGCAGATCAATTTGTGCCTCTTAAAATGTCAACTTCTCTTAGAAGCTGTGGCAATTTCTTGCTAATCAAATGTAACCACAAGGTGTAAAATGACCCACTCGGAATGGGAGAGGTAGGACAGGTCCTCAGTGTTGGTTTTAGAGGTGAGGCTGGAGCTGAGGAGAGCATGAAGAGCTCTTCAAACCAGACTAAGATGCTCCTCAGCAAGATAAGCAGCTGTGAGGGCACCAAAAAGTGCCCTCAGCCAGACAATTTCTCCCTCAGCATCACCCCGAGTTACTTCTAAGAGGGGGAGATGAGGAGAGATTAATCTGCCTAAATATTCAGCACCTCAATCCAAGCTGGTTGTTCTCTGCTCATTTCCCAGTCTATTTGATGCAGCCATGGAGGTTCCTCCTCCCCCTGGAGCAGATGGCTAAGACAAACAAACCACACCAGCAAGTCCCAGTTCATTCCTATCACCTTGAAAAGCCTCCAGGGCAGCAGAGCCTTAGGGGGGGAAACTGCACGTGCTGCCCTGAGTCTGAGGAAAGGCTGAACACACAGTGAGGTGCTGCTGGAGAATGTCAGGAGCAGAGCAAATCCAGCAGCTCACGTGGGCCCAGGGCAGGAATTCCAGACTCATGTGAACACTAGAGAAGAACCAGAGCTGATTCCTGCAGTTCTCCAGAGGAACTCCTGTTTCGGATGTAAACAGGATGCACTGCTCATGCTGGATGGGTTAGGTTGGGTTGGTTGGTTGGGTTTTTTTCCTCCCATTTAGCATTTTTGAGATGCTAAGTGGAGCCTGATGATCACATTCCACCTCTGTGATTGGAGTATCTTGGAGAGACAAAGATCTTCCATGCTGAGAAGCTGAGTGAAGTATCATGATCAGCAAAATATTTTGATATGCTAAGACAATGTCCTAGGCCTAAATCCCACTGAAACTGGAGCCTTTTGACTGCTCTGGCAGTGAAAAGTGGCTCTAAAACGAGTGTTTCTTGGCCCTGAATGGCTTGAAGAGACCCTCGAGGCACCTGGAGTTGTGTCCCTATTGGAATTGCTAAGCTTGGGTGTTGTAATCCATGGAGAGGAATGGGTTGGGTGAAAGAAATGGTTACACAGCTCAGAGAAACAGGTGCCTCAAGAGCTTGTGGAGGTGCTGATGGGCAAGTGTAGGATTAGCTGTTTCTCCCCATGAGAATTAGGACATGATATTTCTCATGGTAAATGAGATTAATTGTCCATTTTCCCTAATAATAGCCAATCCATCCTCACTCCTTGGCAAACCCAAGGGTATCATCCAGCCATTTATGGAAATAAGGAGCTGGAAACCTCCAAGCACATTAAATCTTTCTTTGAAAAGCAATTCATTCCAGACCTGCTGTTCCTAATGACTCTCATTCCCGTTGGGAACCACATGAGTTGTTCCACGGCCTCAGAATTTGCTCAGGATCACATGCTTTTCCTGCAAGAGGGTTTCCATCAAAAATTAGGATGCAAACAAGTATGTAAAGCATGTGGAGGTGGAGCCTGGGGAGGTAGTTAGTGGTCAGGTGTCCATCCCCAGGGCTCCCGCGTTTCCGGAGGTGACGCCAAGCAAGATGTATAAAAGCTTTGCATTTTGATGCTCCCACCAGTTCCTTTGGCTTCTCCCTCGCTCACTGCGTTGGTGAACTGGTAAGTCTCTCTTGGATTTATCAGGGAAGGATGCTGTGTTGGTTGTTGTGGTCAAGACAAGCTGTTGCTGAGCACAGAAGAGCTTTGCTCCTGGCGTTTCTCTTCCAGGATTTGTCCTGGAATGGGAAGAGGATGGTTGAGTCTTATTTAGAGTTTGCTCTACCTTCAATATCTTGAAAATGTCCTGTCTCCTCCTCAGAAGTTGTGGTTGTCTCTCCTCCTGCCTCCTATTCCATCTTCATTAATGTGCTCCTCCCTCATTAAGCCTGGAAATTAACTGAATTAGTGGATGCTGCAGAGTAGTTCTTGGGACTTCAAAAGGGATGGGTGGGAAGAAGCATTATCTCCATGAAGGAAGCTACAGAATTCCTGCAGGCAAAGCTGCAGGAGACATCTGGGAGAAGGCAAGATGAGGAAATGGCTTGGAAATAGGAGCAGCAGCCCATGGGCCAACCCTTCTCCCACGGAAGGATGAGCAGTGACCTACCAGGATATGGAGGATCATCGGGATAAAGAAACTGGGGCTGTTCAGCCTGGAGAAGAGAAGGTTGTGTGGAGACCTCACAGCACCTTCCAGGATTGGAAGGGGCTCCAAGAGGGACTCTTCATCAGGAACTGCAGTGACAGGATGAGGGGAATGGGTTCAGAATGAAACAGGGAAAATTAGGAGGATGAGCAGTGACCTACCAGGATATGGAGGATCATCGGGATAAAGAAACTGGGGCTGTTCAGCCTGGAGAAGAGAAGGTTGTGTGGAGACCTCACAGCACCTTCCAGGATTGGAAGGGGCTCCAAGAGGGACTCTTCATCAGGAACTGCAGTGACAGGATGAGGGGAATGGGTTCAGAATGAAACAGGGAAAATTAGGTTGGATATTGGGAAGGAATCCTTCCCTGGGAGGGTGCTGAGGACCTGGCTTGCCCAGAGCAGAGAAGCTGTGGCTGCTCCATCCCTGGGAGAGTTCAAGGCCAGGTTGGACGGGGCTTGGAGCCACCTGGGCTGGTGGGAGGGGTCCCCGCCCCCTGCCCAGGGCAGGGGGTGGAATTGGGTGATTTTTAAGTTCCTTACAACCCAAACCATTCCATGATTCTATGGGATAGCGTTGGAGTCTGTGGTCCTTGGGCTTTGTGCTTGGCATTGGCAGCTCAATGTCTGCACACAGGGGGATGTGCTCTGGGGTGTGTGAGGAGCTGAGGAAGTGCTGAGCAGTAGATTATCCCTGGGACAGCTAATGGTTTCAGTAAGAAAACAAAGAGATGAACTGTTTCCATGGTTTAGCTTCCACAAATTTTATCCATGGGCAATTCCCTAAGATTGAGGGTTTGTGGCTCTAGGCTTCCTAACAGGGACCTGTGCAGCTTCACAGGAAAGGAAGGAATAACCTGGAGTGTTCAGTGCATAGCTCTGAAGCCAGAAATCATGAAGATGTGATTTCCTCTAACAGTCCTTCCCTCAGGCTCACCCCTAACCGTTGTCTATGCGCCGACAGCTCAGCCTGGGGCCAGCAGATGAAGGTCCTGATTTTGTGTCTCTTTCAGCTTTCTCTTCAGCTTCCTCAGCCCCTGGGAAGGATGTCTTACTGCCAGCAGTGCAAGCAGCCCTGCCTGCCCCCTCCCATCTGCCTGCAGAAGTGCTCCAAGTGCGTGGAGCCCTGCAAGACGGTGTGTGTGGAGTCCTGCAGCAGCGTCTGCCCCACGCAGTGCGTGGACGTCTGCCCGGCACCCTGTGCCCCCCAGTGCACCACCACCTGCACCACCCAGTGCGTGGAGCAGCCCTGTGCCACCCAGTGCACCACCACCTGCACCACCCAGTGCGCGGAGCCCTGCGGCGTCCAGTGCGTGGACGTGTGTCCTCCCCAGTGCGTCGACGTCTGCGCCAAGCCCTGTGACACCCAGTGCTGCGCCCCGTGCGTGGAGCCCTGTGCCACCCAGTGCTGCACCACCAAGTGTGTGGAGCCCTGCCAGGCGTCCTGTGTGGAGGTTTGCACCACCAAGTGCGTGGAGCCCTGCGAGACGGTGTGCCTGGAGCCTGTGTGCTCTCACCCGTGCTGATCCCCTGAGCCTCGCGATGTCCCTGAGCTCCTGAGGGCTCACGGAACGGAAACCGAGATACAGACCCATCTGCAATGTCCCTAGACCTCTCCTGCTCTGCTTGCTCCACGTCCTCCTTGTCTTGGAAAACGTTGTCTCTTTATCTTCCTGTGATTCTTCTGCTCCTGCTGTCTCAGCAGCTTTGTCTTGGTTGGCTGATGTCTTGCTCTGCACCTTGGGAAGTTGTTTAGCTGTGGTTGAGCTGTCAGCAGTTGATGGTGGAAGATGTCTCCTCTTTTAGGCTTTCATCTTGTCTTTCACTGTATGTCCTCTTGTCTTTTAATGTCTGTGTGCAGCAATAAAAACTGACCATCGATGGCATCATGTGTCTTCTGTCTTTCTTTCACCTCCCCCTTTTCATGTCCTCCAGCCCAAGAACATCTTCCTTCCCTTTTTGTTTTACAAAGCTGTTTGTGCTGCTGTAAATGGCATTTGAATAGGGAGCAATGGCTTCTAATTCCGTAAGGAAAACATCACCTGGTCAATAGTTTTCTGACAGATACTTGAAGATAATGAGAGAAATTTGGGTTTCACCTTTATTGATGAGACAATTTTGGTCTTTGTGTCTCAGGATTTTGGAGTCAAAGCTGGGAAACTGTTATAAGGTAAACTGAAGTGGAGAAAGCCTCAAATTCGAGCAAGAAGGAATTGAAATGTTCCTGCTGGAATTTTAACTGCATCTTAAGAACATTCTGATTGAGGCAAAAGGGTTTGGTGAATTCTTCCCATGATCCTCATGGACTAAACAGGAAAATAGGGGATTTGGCTTCAGGAGATGAATCTTTTTGTGGCTCGGGAACAGGTCTGAGCCCTGCAGGATTGCAGCTTGGCTCCCAGGTTTGCTGCAGACACTTTGTGTGGCTTTGGGCAGGTCTCACTCGTGTTATCTCTCCATTCCCCACGTGCAACGAGGAGAAGTCACAGCCCTGACTGGCAGAGTGCTTAGGATTGTGGGCTCATGAACATCTGGCAGGTTCAGTAACATTTTACTGCACTTACAAAGCATCTTTTTTTTTGGTCCTGACTTTGAAACTGCAGGAGATGTGTTGTCTGGAGGGACATGAAACCCATTGAGAGGCTGAGATTCCAAGATAAAGCTCCTTTGTGTGACTTGCTTAACCTCTGGCTCCGTGATGGCCACACAATTTCCATGTCTGGGCCGTAGAGAATTGCTCCCCACCTACCATATCATTATGGCAAGGGTGGGGAATATCTCATCTAGTAAAGAAAAGAGTTATATTTAGGGGTGTGTAAACACTGTTACCAAATCAGCATGTAATGAAACCTTGGGGCAGGTGCAGAGTTTAACTGCAGATTCCTCTTCAGGTTCTGTCTGGTGACACCATCCAACAGCAATAATCACAGGCAAAACACGTGTCAGGAAGGCAAACAACCTCCACACTGAGCACACCTGGCAGTTCAGAGAGGCTGAGCCAAGGGAGATGGGCCAGGTATGCCACAGGATGAAAATGGACGTGGAGACTGGGAATGTGCACCTCTAATTCCTCCGGAGGAACACAAACCTTGGGGGATCCAGCAATGAGCTCTGCCTTGCTAATAACCTGCTGCTGCCACACATGTGGTGTCAGTGCCACTTCCAGGCATGGAAAAAGACTTAGCTGGAAAGTCATCCCCAACTCCTATGATCCATCCCACAGCTGAGTCACCTGTGACTGATTTCTGAGCATCTTCGTGCACATCTATTGGCTTTGTTAGTCATGGAACTTTGCTTCTCCTCTGCCTTTCTGCTCTGAGCATTGCACCAGGCACAGAGGTCACAGAGGAGAGCTCATGGCTCTGGAAACCCCAGAGGAAGTGGCAGAAAGGACCTGTTGGTTCGTGCTCATCACGTTTCCTGTGCCTGTAGGAAAAGGTGTTGCAAAAACCCTGACACACTCCTCTCCTATGCACCTGTGGTCAGCTCTGGGCATGGCTGGAATTCCCTGGATATTTGCTACAAATTAGTGACATTTCATCTGTGTCAACCTGTAGAAGTCCAGAGGATCAGGGGCTGATGGGGATGCCTCAAACATCAGTCCCAGGATTGCCATGGAGTTGGCCAAGGATTGTTGGTAATAACACGCTGAGGCAGAACAGGATGAGGCTGGAGAAGTGACCACACAGGGAGCACTTTTCCAGGACAAATGTCCTTCTTCTGGTTCCTGGAGAGGAGCACAACATAGCCCAGCACCTTCTGCTCTCCTACACCCAGTGCAGGAGATGTTCAAGGCACGACTGGACGTGGCACTCAGTGCTGTGCTGTAGTTGCCAAAGTGGAGATCAGTCACAGGTTGGACTCGATGCCCTTTAGGGGACACAGTAAACAGATTCCCCCACCCCACTCAGACTTCTGAGCATCTGTCCTGGTGACCACAGCCAAAATATCACCTAAACCTTACGCAGATGTGTCCTTCTCCCTCCAAGTGGGAGAGGAGTTGCCTCCCACATGTGAGTTGAGTTGTGAGATCTTTGCCCAGGATAGGACCAGGTGAATTTGGAATGAATTAGGCAGTGATTGCCAGGCTGGGTGTGCCTTGCATTCAACACAACCAATCCCCCACACCCCAGAGAGGAGGCATCTCTCACAGCCCTTGACTGTCGCCCAGGTGTATGGAGGTGTGAGTGGAGCAGGTTCTGGTTGTGAAAGATTCTGGTCATCAAGTTAATCTGTTGTCATCAGCTCCTGGGCTTGACTTCTGAAAGCATATAAAAGGCTCCCGTTGGGGAAGTTCATTAACTGCAGTGGCTTCTCCTTCCCTCCCTCCAAGAGCAGGAGACACCAGGTGAGTCCTTCTATCCCCTGGAGCTGGTCAGGTGGGGGTTTGGTGCTCTGGCTTTGGAGAAGGGGAGATTTGTCTTTATTCCCTTTCTCTAGTCACAACTTCAGCTTTTTCCCCCTCCAACTCCACCTGCACATGGGTGAAAGCCACACGGTGGTATTTGGAGACTTTCTGAGACTCAGATCGTGGTTTGCTGACTCTTAGGACCAGAAATCCCTTGGCAACCCTTCTAATTTCTGTGGTTTGCTGACTCTTAGGACCAGAAACCCCTTGGCAACCCTTATAATTTCCCCCAAACTGATAAGAATCCTGTGGATAACCATCAGGTGTTGAGTGTCAGCTGCCATGGGCTGGTCACAGCAGTCTCCTGGGTCTCCAGGGCTCTGAGATCCATCTCTGTGTATAAAATCATGTCAGAGAGGACATTTGATGGCCAGGGACACAATTCCCACCCTGAGGCTCCCAAGGAGCTGTGTAGAGATGTGGTTGCTGCAGGAAGGGATTGTTAGCACATGGTTTTTCCCTTTCAAAACTCACAGTTCTGAGATGTCACTGATTTCCTGCTCCTCTTAGACTAGTTTTAGACATTGCTCTGAGGTTCTCCTTGAACTGAGCATTCTTTCCTTCAAGTTTCCTTTGTTTCTGAGCTTGTCAAGGTTGGAATGTCCAGAAAACAGTGAGCAGAGGGAACAAAGGAAAACCTCTCTCACCGTTTGACTTCTCTTAAGCTCTGAAGCCAATTCCCTGCTTGAGGGAATCATGAGGAAGAACTTCCGTCCATGGAGGTGGCAGAGCCCTGGGACAGGAGCCCAGGGAGGGTGTGGAGTCTCTCTCTGGAGACATCCCAAACCCACCTGGACACATCCCTGTGTCACCTGCTCCAGGTGCCCCTGCCTGGGCAGGGGTTGGACTGGATGATCTCCAGAGGTTCCTTCCTGCCCCAACTGCTCTGGGATAGCTTTAAAAGCTAATCCTGTTCACTGTTGGGTCGATGTCAAAGCTGAAGAACTGACTGAACCCATCACATCCCCAGAGGAGAACTCCGGAGGGCTTAGAAGAACTGAAATGACACCTTATTGTTTTTTTCCAGGCTCAGCAGAGATGTCATCCCAGCAGAAACAGCAGCACCAAATACCTCCTCAATGCCAGGAGAAGTGTGTGGCCACTCCAAAGTGTGTGGAGCAAAGCCAGGCCCCGAAAGGCCAAGCCAAGTGCCCTGTGAAGAGCATCCCCCAGCAGCAGCAGCAGCAGCAGTGCCCAAAGCAGAAGTAGCACAGGCCACAAAGTGCCACAGAAGATGCAAGTGCCAATTTCCCCATGCTAATTCCCAACTCTCCTCTCTGCTGGAACAGCTTCAGATCTGCAGCACATCTCCTTAGCTTCAAGCAGAAATGACCTTACAAAGAGATGCAATTCATTAACTCTGATTTCTTCAGCCTCTAGCAGAACATAATAAATGTTTTGTGGATCCATTTGATTCTGATCTAAGTTTGGGCTACGCTAAATAAAGCTATAGATTACCTCATGATTTGCTTCCTGATAGTTTTCTTTTCACTCTTCTCATGTCAATCAGTGTCTTTCCTTTGCCAACTCATTCCCTTTGAACGTGGAGCCAGGCACAACCTGCTTGTGGGGTTAGAGTCCCAGCTCTGCCTGCTGTGAGGAACAGAGTCTTGGGGAGTTTGTAGCACTGAGAAGAAGCTTTTGCTTGCTCAGATTAAATAGTTTCACTTTGAAAATGCTCCAAAAGAGAATCTGGGATGTTTGGACTTCCCAGCAGGACATCCTGGCTCAGCTCCTTGGTTTGCAGTCATGGCACAGAGGAGGAGGAGGATGAGAAGTAGGAAAGGCTGAGGGATGTTGGTGCGTGCAGACAGACATGGTTTGCACTGCACACTAGGAGCTCTGGCTCAGTGGGACATGGTGAGATTGCAGTGCTCCTGGCTCAGCTGAAGGGTGGGAAAAGCTGTTTGCTTGTGCTTGCAACCTGCTGCATAGGCATGCCCAGGGCTGGTGGCTGCTGGAGGGCACAGAGTGCCTGTGAGTCATGGAATCGTGGAGTGCTTTGTGTTGGAAGGACCTTAAAGATCATCCAGTTCCACCTCCTGCCATGGGAGGGACACCTTCCACCAGCCCAGGGTGCTCCAAGCCCTGTCCAGCCTGGCCTGGAACACTCCCAGG